TAATAATCTAAAGTCTATTAATATAGAATTAATGTCGTTTAACATCTTCAAATTCCATACTGATGATAAATAATCTATTCATTTAGGATTTCAACTATAAATAAACAAAATTCCTCCATACTACTCTTTGCCTTTTCCATATCCAAAGCTAGTAAATTTTAAGCATAAACCATTAAATAGACAAAAATATGGAAACAGTTATAGAAAATGCATCAACAATAAGTGGTATAGAAAATAATCAGCATATAATATAGTTAAGAAAATAATTTTTAAAAACTACTAATTTATGCTAAAACTGCCGAGTTCTAAATACGCAGAGGTTAGACTTTGCTAGAGCACACAACAAATGCAAGCATTCAAAAAGCCCTCACTTTAAAATTGCAAATGAACAGTCTGATAGACCAATTCATTGTGACGTCACGAGTCAGAGGCACCATTCCACTTGGTGAAAACAAACCCGTCGCTCGCAAATAACTCGCTATCAGTGAGTGAAAATAGTGTATGAATTCTCCGATTCTTCAAAAACCGATGTGGAAAAGCTATATGAAGCAAAACAAAGCTGTGCAGCTAAAAGAGTGCCCATACCATCTAACTGCCGAAATTTAGATCGACCATCCTTCGATATGGCCTACTATTCAATATCCTGACATCTACGACTATTTCATTAACACATCAGGCAATAATAATAATTTCAAGATAACAATTTACCAGAGTAATCTGTGACTTTTACCTTTATAGGGTATTTTTCTGAAATCAGTGCCATTTCCTGACATCACTTTTCTACCCATTTACTTGGTGTTTATACAAAAGAGACAATGAAGTTACATACAGGCCTACAAGCACACAATGCATTTTTCTCTCTCCTCAATGATTTAACCTCCAGAGATAGGCCCTCTTCAGCTGTTTCATCTTCCGGACCATATGACATTTCCGACATAAAGGCATAAGGCAACTGTATGCCTGCTTTGTTTCCATCTAATGGACAGTGCTCAAAGACACTTGGGATAAAGTCTGGGTGAGTTGGATCTGGAGATGGTTTGCCTGTAAATTTAAATCATGATAAATCAATTTATTAAAAAAAAAAAAAAAAAAAAAGTAAAATTATTGTTGGGCTTTTTAGAGTACAAGATTACTGCCAAAACCTAATATCAACAATGTTGACTTTGTTTAGCCTTTGTTGATAGTGTAGATAAATTGAATTTGAAAGTGATTATCTGTCTCTGGAATTTGTAAAGGTGTAAAATATTAATATATTGATCAATAAAATGTTCTGAGCAGATATAAAGAGTTTCCCCCAGGTGCCCAAGCACTCCCATTAGTGTTCCGACTTTTCATGGCCTGTACCCATTGCTTCCCTTTTTCAGGTTTCTTATCACAATCTAGAAATATATGAAAGGTTAAACCTTCCTTTCCCATCATGTTGTGGTTTGAACAACCAACAGCAACACAGCTCCTCAGCATTTTAACGTAAAGAAACTAAATTCTCTAAAAAATTCAGCTACTCTGTAAGCAATCCACAGTGTTTTCCCCCAGTGCTCATTGATAGGGGCGGTTGCTAGACATTACCGAATCGGTCTATTCTTTATACCTAGGCTAAGCAAAGGCCAACAAACTTCCACATCTTTATAACATGGGCTGGCATACTTCCAAATATTCATATTCAAACTAGTCCATGCCCTATCCATGCAGAATATACATGGTGGAGGTATATTAGCCTCCACTGAACTCAGCACTGCACCACTGTTAGGCATGACTTCAGATTGTAGGGTACTAATTAGTTGCAGAACCACATCACCACCACTAGCCTATGCATCATTCGCAGAAGCCTCTTCACATTGCCCAGTGGTTTACATGCCTGTCATCACAGCCTCTCAACACTCCAGCATAGACCGACAAATTTTCATTACACAAACTCTTAAAAAAATGGAGCTTACAAATCTACAAATGTGGACGTATTCCAAGCTCCAGCGTCCCCGACTAGATTTGGTGGCATGAAAGCTTTAGCAAGTACTTGACAGTGTGCCAGTGTTGGGACTGGAAAAGATCATCATTAGAATTTTAAAGCCACAAGTTAGTTAATAAGGCTTACCTGGATATGTCTGGAAAAAACAATGAGAAGTTGTTATCCTCATGTATCCATAGATTTTCTAGTTTAACAGTAATTCACACATTCATAGGTATGTCACTACATATCACTGTGGAGTCTTAAGTAATATGTTTATTTCTACAACGTACCTACCCCTGTGATGTCACTGACCAAAGATTTACAGTCCAACTGCTATGACGGGCAGCTGATATGTTTCAACAGGTAGGCCTACCCCTCAGGAATATTTGTCTTGGGGTAGGATGAAGTACACCAACGGTCATTCTAAAACTTTAAAAACCACGTCTTTTTGTATCGATATTTCCCATTACTTAGCTTAAAAACAACCCTAGAACTGCTATAATGACGGCAGAGACACATACCAAGATCTTTTTATCTCCCAAGAGAGGAATCGAG